TGATCACTCTCGCTGTCATGATTTCTATTGAGGCAACAGTTCAAGCGTTAACTATTTCACGCGGACACTGGTCTTTGCCCCGCAGGCGCTCTTACAACATTTTTGAACCTTTGCATATACAAATATAATAGCTAAGAGGAGCGTCGCTGAACCCCGCATCAAGTCAGCTGCGCGGGTCATTCCCTTTTATCTTCCTTGTGCTTTGGGATGTGTTTGTGAGCGCACTTAGTTACGCTGTCTATAACGCTCTATCTTGTTTTTCGAAAAGGAGGAAAAGTGAGTCTGCGAACGTGTCTACACAAATTTAGGAGACTGAAGAGCGGCTCTTCTCGATTTTCCCCAAAGGTTCCGTTTGTTTGTGGTGTGCCATCAAACAAGGCCAACGTTAACAGATATGGCAGTCTCATAACACTAATATGATCTTGCATTACACCTACGCCTTCAAGGGCTTTAAAACAAAGTCAGTTTGCCGTCGCTAGCTCTCTCCCTCTCACGGAAGCTTGGGAAAACTTGCCATTTTACTGGATATTAAACTTACTATAATAACTTGCTATAATATTTTTACGTGAGATCTTGTCTTAAGTCGGGAAAGTAAGTTCAAGCTATATACAAATTGTGCTAAGGACAAAAATTATGGGTGTCAATGTACTGTGGGTGTAGTACATAGAATGTACGTTGCCTCTGGTCCATGTATACGTACGGGACATCATACTATATCTCTGCAATATGTTAGAAAAAAAATTTGTTCGTTTCGTTTTCCTCATTATCTCTTAATTGTCACTTCATTGGTGCACTGCTGTTTCAGGAAGGGATAGATAACCCTGCAATAAGTGAGCAGCCTATGTTGGGCTTTTTACGTTCTAGGGCGATGCTGCATTAATGATAATGAGGGCACAGTCCTCAGTTTAACCTTCGGCCGAACGAACTGCCAGGATCGATATCACCTGTCTACTGATCTATTGTGATATATTTGAGGCTCTGTTGCTGCAAGTCTTTTTGGCCTTTGCATGTACAAAACATAGCATCCAGAAAAGACACCCCCTTGGCTATATACATATGGATAGAAGTTAACAGTTGTTTACTACCGACTTTTCAATTTGAACCAGCTCAACTTGCTCTTGATGGCGATCTTGAACATATGTACTAAGTCGATGGATACTCAAAACTTTACATCCTTGTGACACTTACCTTGCCTTAGGTGTTTCCCCCCTTAAAAGTCAACTTGGGGTTCATCCTAATTACCCTGTGTGACTACTAACGCTAATGATCTCCGATGCTTCGACTGCGCTAGTTATATACAAGACAACACCGTATCTAAGCATAAATCAAATACCGGACATTATCTCGCACTAACCTGCACTAATACCCGCTGCTCATAGGACGACTGTATGGACAAAAAGATGGTGCGAATGGCGGTGGAGACAGCTAAGAAGCGTCCATTAAATTCATTTCGTACTGATTCACACTCAAACCAATCCCGCACGGGGTTATACCGATCTTCTTCTGTGTAGTCGACGACTGCCTCCACCCACATCTTGCAGTTTCCCGCCGTTAATTTGCGATCTCATTGGGCAGACAGAGGAACATCGACAACCTCGACCCCGCTGTCGTATCTATGTAGCGTAGCGTACGGCATGATACGATAAGCAGTCTTCCTCCAATCAGAATCGGTTCGACTGAGATTCTGGAGTCTATGGCAGAAGCATAGCAGAACAGAGAAAGGTTGACACTACGCTCTACGAACCCCTTCTTTCCACCCGGGCTACCTCGTGAAGCTCTCCTCTGTCCTGATCCGCTCCTTTCCCTTTACTTCAAGCCCAATCAATTTGATCAGCTGGTCTCACATTCACTCCGTTGCTACCTGCCGTTCCAACTGCTTATCCCTCTGCAACAACGACCTGCTGAATCATAGCAGGTCACATGTAGCGAGCCGCAAACCACTGAAACGATAGCGATAGCATAGGCGATAATCCGCGCCGACTTGCGAAGTTCTCGCTGCTAATGACTCGAACCAATTTGAAACCTTTTTGACCAATACCTGGTGACCTGGTGCATCACCTTCAGTAGCGCCAGTGCAGAAAAGCGTTCCGTTTTGCCAGTACAACGGGGGATGAAACCATCCAACGAGATGTCCCGTCGCGGATCTAGCTACATATTAAAGTATATCCATATTCAAGTTACCGAAATTAAGGAGTGCATCGGCAGTTTTCACTACAGCTGGAAATCTCTAGTTCTAAATGAAATCTGTATTATAAAATAAAATCACCTAGCGACAATATTTCAGAGTCGATATCCAATTTAGCTAGAAAACATGATGTGCAGTACTCTGATTATAGGCTGCCTTTTACTTTCTTTTTCCTAAACGTCGGACTGTCTTTTGTGGTTAGGCCAGCCATAGTCTTGTCGTCCTTGTTGCGCCATGTTAATATCGTTTTGATGAGCCTTAGCTAACAAGGAAGGACGAAAACGACCGGCCTCCGAAACTTGGCCTGTGGTCGGCCTGAAGTGACTCTTGCCGATACCGCCACCAGCGCCATCATTTCGACAGAGTATTATGGCTTGCGGATAGCAGCGAGGACCGAACGAAGATGCCCCTGGAAGGATTTCATACAAGCAGTGGCGAGGGAATATTACTGGGCTGCGCGCTAGTTGGTGAAGCAATGAACAAATGGGGGATAACGGAGGCGCCAAGGGGGCGCAATCAATCATAACTTTTTGCGCATCTTTGGCTGCTCTATACTTTGCCTCATCGTCTAGCAGATCTTTTCTCACTTCCCAAGAGCGCCCTCCGCCCCTTCTGCCTCCCTTTCCGCCGCCGGTCGCGTTCTACACGATGAACTGCTAGTCACCCAGCTCTGCTCAGCTAGCCCTTTCCACGAAAGCAATGTTCTTTCGTCAGCCGTCTACCCTTCCGTCCCACGGGCTATTCGTATAAATTCTCTACCTTATATATATATACACCTTATATATCATCCCATTTTCTCTCTTCGGATGTGGCTGCTGAACTCGCAGAGAACGGCTTGCTGCCTTTCAGAGTAGAGGATTTGCCCGGAGCGGCAAGCCCCCCTGAGACAGAGGCTGTGACAGTGAGTGAGGGTACTGGACTTCATTTAGTAATGATTGGTCGGCCCTTCAGACGGTTTCGTGCTCTTTTAGGCTCCTAGCGACTGATCTCCAAAGAGTCTGCCACCGATGGCAGCGGCTCAACAAACAAACGCGGAGATCGAAGGCGTTTCGAAAGCTCGCCAGTAAGACAAATCAGGCAAGCAAAGTCCCGTTCAACGAAATAAAAAAACTCAAGCGATATGCTTTAAGATGCGCCGCAGTTTATTCTTTGCCAACTTCGTCAGTAATAACAATTACTTCCGATTTATTTTCAATCCCAAAAAATGGCGCGAAATAGGCTCATGAAGTAACTAAGTGCTGCTAGAGTCGTACGCACCAGCTCATTTCCCAAACAGTCCATAAGCAACAGACATACCAACATCGATAGCAGATATAAGGTATATTTGGGACTCTTTATATTTTCATGTAGGTGGTACAAATATGTTGTATTTCCGTGTAGCAGCAGAAGCGTAGCTGTAAGTTTTTTTTTCTGAATAAAGTTTTATTAAAAAAATGATTAAATTCGAATCAGCGACGGCGGCGTTGAGTAGACAGTATAATAAAAGCCGAAGCTTAGTTGTGACCAATCACATGATAATCGTCGCGATTACCCCCACCTTCTGACGCTTAGCATGGCCGGTCATTGCATTTGGCGGCTGCGGTGTGAGCAGACGTCGCATACTTCCCTTCCTGACTCCACGCATCTAATGAGGATCGCCTTGTCCTGAAGTAAACTTAAGATAAGTCGCAGGAAAGCGAAAAGGAAGAAGTTGGACGAGATAAGCATTCAAGCAAAGCTGGATCAGCGGCAATCAATCATAACTTGATGTCGCGCATCTATCGTTATCCTTCCTTTCCTTATCATTGACTGTTTCTTTTTTATCTTTTCAGCATACATACACTAATGCTGCGGGTAACAATGATGCCGAATAAGGGAGTGCCGGTTTCGTGTATTTTTGTGGGTCCAAGAAGGCAGGGGTCTTCCGACTCGGGGAAGTCGAGGAGGGACTCAGGAAAGTGCCTCGAGAAGAACTCTGGGGTGGTCGACAAATGTCGCCAATGACAATGACGACAAAAAGGTTGCGAGGTGAAATAAAAGCGGTAATCGTCAAAGTAATCGTCTTCGTTGTCAACAAAAAATCGATGCTCATCACTATTGCGAACAGTATCAAGCCAAGAAGAGGTTCACACATAACCCAACTACGGACGGTACGAAAGACGAGGCGCTACTTAATCTAAAAGTGTCTGATTCAGAAATCTGGAACAAGTGGAACTTACGAAAATCAGGAAGTCAGCCAAGCTGCGAGGACGAGAGGGTATCGTTCGGTCAATGTCAATAAAAAAAACCCTGGCTGGTAGCAGGGTCAATACAAGAGACAGGGTATTCGATAAGTGTGCATGAAACATTGCTTAACAACAAAGTCTACCACTACCCTGTTAGCCTTCGAAATGCTTGGCGTTTACGCTTGGGATCTACTTAGGCAAGAAACAAGGCATGGCCAGCAACCCACAAATCTCACATTGCGTGAAATATGATGAACACCAAGCCGGAATATTCACATTGGTCACCAATGTAATGGGTGCGGTCGAATCGGAGGAGATTTGCAATAGCTGTGGTCAATTGAAGCTATAGGAGTGGGATAAGCTAACCAAGGTCCTTTGCGACCTTTGCGCCTCATTTACTCGACAGAAGGACATCGAATAAAGACTTTTATAAACAGTTTAATCGATTTGAATAATAACTGATCGAGCAGCCGCTTTAAGGACTCTTTTGTCCACATCGTTATTCATTCACCGAAGCAAAAACACACCCAGTTCTTTATGCATTACTTATTTTAAACAATGCTAATGAACTATATTTTCTGTCGCTGATATTTCACGCGTTGGACGGATCCTTGAGGTGGAACGAGAATCCCTTCTTTGATTTCTTTGTTCTTCGGAAGTATCGTGAGATGCCGCTTGGATACTCTTCGGGTCTAGCAACTCCTTCCATGCCTGCAATGTGGGGATCACCATTGAGACAATGTATATTGCCTGGCGAGTGACAAACCTCTGCGGAACCCCTTACACCACTCGGGGAACACACAAAGGTCTGGCCTAGGCAAGGCAACATCAAACCATTGAACCTAATGTTCCTGTCGCACGCCATGCATCTCATTCGACTCCTCATTGGACTTCATTGGATTGGATCGGCCGAGGTTGTCGAAATGAGGTAAGGTGTTCCGCAGGGAGAGTGAGGTCACTGCCACAGCGGGAAATGCCTGAGTAACGCTAAAGGAGCGTGCGGCCCTCTTACTTACCTCATCTTGGGTGTAATCAACGGTTCAAGCGAGCATCTATTCGGGAGGAGTTGAAGTAAGACTCTAGGCCCGTTTACTTTGGGAAAGATATCCAAGCGAAGGATAGTCACTGCAGAGACCCTAACGCAACCTAAGGCGTGCGATCCTGTGAACACAGAAAAAAAAGTCATCCACGCATCTTTTCATCGTGTTGGTATATTGCTGTATACTCACTGGTAAGTCTTATTCTATCGAACAAATCCCTGCTTGCCATTTACGTTATTGAATACTTGCTAAGAACTCTAAACCCCGATTACGTGGTGCACACAGAAGGCTAGTCGGTATAAGGCGCTAGTCAATTATCGAGGACAACCACAATGTAGGCTAGTACAGCCCCAGTGCACAGGTAGAGAGGCGTTGCAAAAGAGTTTATAGATCATATACTATCAGTAGGTATAAATTATGATTTTTCACTGTAAATAAATTCACTGTCTTTGCGTATGATATATGCATATTTAAACGGAACGGATGATATACGAGATAATTGCTAAATCTAAGTAAACACTGTTTTCAAATAACATCAGGATCCTGCTGCTGCTGCAATTTTCTGTTCTAAAATTTGGCCATATAGTTCCGTTATTGAAGCTCGGCCGAGGCTGTTCGAAGCTGAACTACCCCTTCTAGGTTCTTCTGTGTCTAGTCTTCGGTTAAGGCTTACTGGTTTTCATGTTGTTACTAAATGTTAGAATTAGTTTATCGAACACTATGACAAAAACCGTCACGATTTTCGACTAAAACACACGGATAAGTTCAAATCCTTCGTGTGTGACATTATTCAGAATCAAGAGAAGGATGAATAATGTTCCTTGGCAAAATGCAGCGGTACTTTGACTAGGCTGAATGTAGAACTTGTCATATAGTCGGTTAGTAAATTTACTGGTGGTTCCGGTTCACCTCGTGTTGATCAATCAAATCACTTGCTGGGCTAACTTAATTATCGTCCGCTTACTTCGTTTCACTTGCCCAGCGCTATCGACCATTAAATCTGAAAGTGATCCATGACAACGCCTTTCCCGACACAAGCGCCATTATAGCGGATCAATGGCACCTTATCGTGCTATGTCAACAACGAAATTATTCAGTTCTATTGCACTATTGCAATCGACGGTCCTTCCCAGTCAATGGCTGCATCCCTCCCTGATGGGTATCAAATCGAAAATAGTATCACGCATCGACACGTGATGTGTGTTTGGGGGGTGCGCCATATGCCTATTAGTTCATTGACTCTCGATAATGTCGATGAGGATCGAGCCGCGCTAGCTGCAGGTGGACGCATCGTTTGATACGCGATTCACTGGCGCCAAATTTGAATTTTCAAGGAAGAAGCTTATAAATAAACAGTAACAGGCTCCAACCTGTTTCGTTTATATGCCAAAACAGATCACATGATACTTGCTCATCGACGACCTGTATTCGAAGGCCTGTCGAATAATAAACCGATCGTAGAACTGGTGATGCTGACAAGAATATTTCATACAAGCAGTAATTGGTGTCGGAGTGTTGGTGGGCCCACACAGCTGGCGGTGTGCTCATATTAGGGATAACTGGAAAAAGCTCGTACTTTGTAAACGCTTGAGGTTGATAGATAGTTTTAGATTGTTGGGGCAATACACGCAGCAGACTGAATACCATAATTGCTAGCGACAAGTGGTAACTTGCTACTGATGTATAGCCCAAACGAAAAATAGGCAATGCAAAAGCTTGAACCCAGGACTGGGAGAGAAGAGTTCCATAGTTACAGAAGAAGTTGTCCCTGTGCTATACCGGATCCGAATGTCGATATTCGCGATACATCAGGTTTTTAATTACCATACGTGGTTTACGACTGCCCTTATAGATGGTACTCTACTTCAGTAATCTCGTATGCTTTCACACGTATCTTTTAACTCTTATTGAGTGTCTGCTAGTTAATAAGTTAATTAGGCAGCACAAAACAGAACTAGAGGGTTGCCCCCAGCTAGCAACAGTATGTGTGTAATGTGGATAATCATAGTAGAACTCTGCTTTTAGCTGCTGGTCCATCTGACCTCAAAACCGTCGAATTTTAGGCTGAATTGAATCAGAGGAATTAAGCGCTGCAGGGCTTGGCTGATCCAAAGCACTAATTTATTCATTGACAAAATGAAAGCTGTACATACATAGCGAAAGGACAGAGTAGTAAATACGTGCATAGCACATATCTGTCTGTTTCTGCTACTAGATATACCTATCATATATGTAACCCAAGCACAGGATGGTTGCATGCGTGTATCTTGTGAAGAAGTAGAACTTATTGCTCTACCTAAGGTGAGTGATGAAGGATAACCTAAGAGAACGCTTCGGAAAGGAATATGATATCTCGTTGCACGGTCGGCAATAGAATGCTTTAGCAGCAATGCCATTCGTTAGTACACGTGAAAGCAGCAGCTACCAGCTCCAACGGCACTAATTTGATCAACTCTACTAGGTGGTGGCAGCGGCAACGGAACTAGAGGGGAACAATCATCGGATGTTTGGGGGGTAATCGGGGGTAGCCACAAATGCTTGTAGTGTGGGGCACGGAGATTCTCTATTGCAAAATTCCGACTGTAATTTTCCTGTAATACTTTTGCTATAGGCGACACCCCGACCATTCGTGGGGACTTTTAAAAAGAATTTGCCGGGTAACGACGGACGGAGGATGTAGAGAGAGAAACAGGGTGTATTCTCCCCGCACATAACCAGTGCCTCACCACTTTTAACTGTCCTAGTTAACATTTCCAAACTTGCCTGTCTGAGGTTGGCATAGCAATAGCACCGATGGAAAAGATGGAGATGACGACTGATGGTGATTGGCAACATCCCTCTTTGCCAGTCGAAGGTATCTACTATACACATACGTCTATAATAGTGGTGCAACTGTCGGTGCATCGTTGTTCTATCCTAATCGCTAGTACTAGCCTGCGATTTCTACCAGAAGGGCAAGTGGAAAGAACACTTGGGATTCGTCTCTTCTCGGCTCATGGCACCCTTTTTCTACAGATACACAAACATGCATCGCGTGAGCGCGAACGAACGACTGTGTCGGCGAGATAGGCCGATTTCAAGGTTTGGCGCATTTGCCTACCACTGCTACCCGCCTTCTTCGTATACCAGCTCAAAGCGTCAAACGGGAACAATGAAGGCCTGGCCTAGTGCCGCTACCGTGCTGAGCGATGCAATTGCTGCTTAACAGATGACCTAGGTTAAACTAGGTTACGTTAAGCTTTAGCAAGATTAGGTTAGTAGATCCATTTTAACTCGAGGTTTTTCTTTTCCTCTTCTGGGCTACTTATGATAACTTAACCGTTTGTGTTTGCTTGTTACGACGGCTACTGCTCCTGCCTTTGAACTATTGTGACTTCTATTAAAGCTACTAACATAACTGCTTTGCGCTGTCGCTACGATAGGACTGGTAGTTCCTCTATCAATAGCAGCGTGCATAAGTGCCAGTGCAACCTGAATTAGCATGACCGGTTCAAAACTGCTAGTGAATGTACGTAGAACTCTTTAGACAGATGGGTAAGCTTCACTCTAACAGCACGAGGGCTACAGGATACCTGTACCGGCATATATAGGAACCAGCATCAGCTGCCACGTCCGGCTAATGCATCGGCCGGACGATGCCTAAAAATGGTTACCCTCTGGGGGAAAGTAACTCTTGCGAAAGTCTTATGCAGCCGGGAGCTTCATGATAAACTAATGACGAGTGTTCCTCGATGGATGCTATGGATCTTCAAGAGAGACATTGAGAGAGAGAAGTAGCGACCATGAAGGGCAAAGCCGCCGAATGACGCGAGTAAACTAGTATTAGTTACTGACTAGAAGAGTTAGTTTCCTATGGTAGGGCAAGGATGAGGTCTGACATGATGATGCGGGTTGGCGGCCGCACAACACGGGTATGTAGGCAAAGGTAAGTTTTATGTGATGACGCGTTGGAGCTCAACGTAAGGCGAAGTCGTTTTTCTCTTCCCTTGAGATAGCCATTAAAATAGAGAACTTTGCCTTCGTTATGTGCCCTCCGCCGCCTCATTTAGGTTAACTTTTAGGGTCACCGACAAACGCTAAAACGCTGCTAGATGGAGGACAAAAGAAAAGGATGCTCCAGTGAGAATGAATATTGTTTATCATCAACGGACTTCTTATCGTCTGTTGTTACAATGCTAGTTTAAGCTAAAACGCATTGCGTAATTTAGCTTGTAACAAATGGGTTGCTGGTTATAATAAAAAAGGGGAAAGGATATAAAGAGACGGAAACGGCCAACGAAATCGCGTGGGGTTACTGGGGCAACGTAGGAAGGTTGGCGAGTCTAAAACACCGAGTCTTATACTATTGTTTTTTTTTTGTAAACTGAAACCTCCTATAAATAAAAAAAAAAAAAATGTTAACTACAAGATAAGATGTAGGAAGGATCAGGATAATTCTGAGCCGACAACTATAAATACACCAGCAATAAGATCCCTTTACCCATAAATTTTGCAATATTGCAACGCCTCAATGTGGGGCTGATTCTGAAACTTTGGTGAATTGCATTATCTTGCATAACATCCTTATTCTCAATTCTATGTTTGTCTATCAAAATACATACTATCGTGAATCCGTGCAAGACTCCGCTTTGCCAACAAATTAGCGAAGTAAACCTTGATGCCGGCGGAAAATCAAGTCGACGTGCTTTGCGCTGATCTTGCCATCCTTCTTCCTACTTACACACCTCCTCTTCCAACCTCTTGCCCCCTTTAGCTGTACCCTTTCTCATTCTGTCCTGATGTTAGCCTCCACTCCACCATCTGTAGGTTTTGACCAATTAGTCGCCGAGTTACTCAGAGTACCACAAAGTCTCCTTGAAATAGTCTGTTCCTAACTCCTTACTGCGTTCTCCTCCGATCTCCTGCACTCTAAGGCCTATACTAGTTGACTGCCTAGCTCTTACTTTGACGACCGGTAGCGCCGACTGCCACGGCCATATTCGGTAAACCCTGTAAACTACAGCGTCCAAAGATTTCTTACTCTCTTGGCCCTCACACTGTTTCTAATCTCCAACCACAAGCAACAGCAGTCTTCCTGTCTTGAAGCCCTTGTAGCGCCCTTGCGCGCGACGCGCCTCCTTTTAAAAGACCACGGAGGGCGGAGGGGATGGCAGAATGCGCAAGGGTCCAGAGCAGGAAGTCCTCTAACGAAGCTTTATTAAGTCCCTAGTTAAGCGAAATCTATCGTTCTCCTTATTTACTCTCTCTCTCTACCTCCCGCCTTCTCCAGGCTTTCATCCTCATTGTCGTCCTTATTTTTCTTCGTCTATCATTGCTGAAGCGGCTGAATCTGCTCGCGAAATTTCGCCTCAGAGTACCCGCCGTTGGCGCTGCTGACGCTGCTGCTAACAGCACTGTCAGCAGCGACAGTCGCCAGCGGCAGAGTCCTTCCATCGCAGCAACGAAGAGTTTGTCTCCTGCATGCCAAGCTCTGGCCAAGAGAATCAGCTACGAAGGCTTGCATGGCCCAACACACACGCACACACATGCAAACCAACCAGCAAGACGGTTACACTTAGCCCATAGGGGGCTAGAACAGAAACAGGGGGCGAAGCGGAACAGTTGCACACGCTATTCTCCTATATGTAGAAGAAAAGTCCTAAGAGAAGTCCTCTCAAAAGGAAAGGCGCCCGAAATCCTGAGTAGTCCCCTCCTTCCAAACTACTGCTGGTGCGCGCGCTATACTACAACGGGCATATCCGTGAACCACTACCCTATGCACTTGCACTGGAGACTTCCTGCTGTCTACTGCCCTGGATCCCAGAGTCTATCGTTTGGATCTTTACCGTCTCTCACTCT